GCTGCGCTGGCGCGGGTGGTCCCCCCCAGCACGCGGGGGGGGTTCTGGGCTCCAGTGCACTCTGTGAGCTCATGCTGTTAGATGTGGTGTGTCCCCAGCCCACCCCACTCACCAGAGCTGAAGAGCTGCTCCACCACACGCCGTTCCATGGCTGTCAGCCCCTCATGCAGGTAGCCCACCCCGTTCACAAGCGTCTCCTTCAGAGTGTTGTCATTCAGCTTGTCCAGGTATGGCACCAGATCCTTCTCTGCACAGTGCAGGAACCTGCCAGAGATGGGGAGTAGGAGACACCCCTGCCAGGCCCAGCAACCCCTCCCTCCCCGCTGTCCCACCAGACACCTCAGCGACATCTACGAGACCATTCCCCACCCCTCAGCCCAGCAAACAACCCCAAAACCATGCCCTTGCCTCCTTCAGAGGAGGGACAGAGGCCTCAGCACCGGTACCTTTGCCTCTGGACGTCTGAAGCACACGTGGTGAGGATGTTGATGGCCGTGAGCCGCGTCTGCTTGCGCGAGGGGACGAAGACGATGACGGGCTTCTTGGGCGAGTGCTTCATGATGGCGTGGTAGACAGGCTTGGCCATGGAGAGCAGGCGGGTCTGCGTGTGGCTGATGTTGAAGCCCTGCAGGAGAGGAGCAGGCAGTGAAGCCGTGTGCTCACCCAGCAGGAGGGCAAGAAGAAGCCGTCAGCCAAACCCTACCTGAATGTGCAGCTCGAGGGGCACGGGGCGGACGTTGGGGTGGAAGTTGAAGGTGGACGTGGCGCTGCAGCCCAGCCAGTGGGCCACATCCTTGGCGTTGGAGAGGGAGGAGCTGAGGGCCACGATGCGGATGGGGCGCTCGATTTGGGAGGAGATGTAGCGCATGCGGGAGCAGATGACCTCCAGCACTGGCTGCAGGAGGAACGGGGCAGGTTGAGGCAGGAACAGGAGGGGAACTCTGAGCTCTCCACACCTCACCTCTCCTGGATGAGCTCCGGACACTTCTCACCCATGGACACTGAGCTTCCCGAAGGATCCAGCCCTCCTTTTCCCACCTTGGGAAAACCCAGTCGGAAAAGCTGACCTCACACCAGATAATAGGAGTGAGCAACCATCCACCCCACAGCAGCTCTGCTGCTGAGCCCCACAGCATGAGGAGCATCTCTCCAATGAGTAGTGGCCTCCTCCCCTCGCAGACTCACCCCATTTTCACCCCCAATGAGGTGCACTTCATCCACGATGAAGAGGTTGACATTCTGGACGTTCTTGCGCTGCTTCCAGCGTCGGGAGAGGATGTCCCACTTCTCAGGGGTGCTGATGATGATGTTCCCTTTGCCCAGCAGCTTCAGGTCGGTGCTGGTCTCCCCCGTCAGCAAAACCACCTTCTTATTGAGACGCTCCTGGAACTTCTCGTACCAGTCCAAGAAGACCTGCCAGGAGAGGTGAGGGATGGTGGTGTTAGAAGAAATCCTACCAAATCCCTGGAGACACACACAGGGACGTGCCAGCAGCAGAAGGGTGGCAGTTGGATGGTGCCTGTGCTCCTTCGGAGAGGCCACCGCTAATGAAAAGAGTCTGGAGTCATCCCAAGGGATGTGACAGCAAAAAAGGGACGAGGAAAGGGACAGAGGGGATGCGGAAGGGGATCTGGGCCACCAGACATACCTGCTCTGCCAGAGCCTCCATGGGAGTGATGTACACGCAGCGTCCCTCCGAGTTCTGGAGCAGCATCCTCAGGATGGCAAATTCAGCACAAATGGTCTTCCCACTCCCCGTGGGAGCCCCCACAAACACGTTGTCATCGCTGTTATAGACCGTGTTGAACACTGGGGATGGGCACACAACACAAGGGGAGCAGTTTAGCACCATCTTCATGGATTTCTGTCAAAGCTCAGGAAACAGGAAGGGAAAACCCAGCCTGGACAAGGAGGAGCTACAGGAAAGGCTGGGTAAGAGTTTAGCCCAGGATCCACTGAGCTAAACAGGCTCTAGGCTGTCAGAGCAGCTCCAAAGTGTGAATTCCCCACCCTGGCTAAGCCCAGGCAGAGAAACATGGACAGGGCAGCTTGAGCTGGCTCACGGCTCCACCCCGACAACCAAGCCCTTCACAGATGGAGAAGGTTGGCACAGGGGATACACCATTTGCTACAGAAGTTCCTCACATGAAGCGAAGAAACCCCACGAGACCAAGGCACTGAGAGGGCCAGTGGGGGCTGAGGTGCAGCCTGGAGGAGGGGAGCAGAGGCAATACCCACCCTGGGTCTGGATGGGGTTGAAGAAAGGGAACTTGTCCTGGTAGAGGCTCTCGAAGGCGCTGTTCCGCAGAGCGGACACGGGCAGAGGCTGCAGGTCCAGCAGCTCGGTGGGAGGAGGATACTTCTCAGGGAGGATCAGGTGCCGGAAGGAAACGGGCAGCTGGGTCTCACAGGCTGTCAGACAAGGGAAAGCACCGTCACCTCTGACAGCACCACAGTGCTTTCATCATGGAATCAGCAGAGAACCCCAGCCTGGTTTGGGTTGGAGGGAGC